ACAAGTGACTATCGGTAATGACAAATTTTATTACAGATCTAAGCCGATATTTCTCGATTTATCCACCAGTCAAATAGTATTTCATTTGAGTTTCATTGTATTACACGAGCAGTTCTCTTTCACCAGGAGAGTGGTGTTTGAATTACAACAAGCATCATCACTCTCCAGCGTGTCAAACGGTGACGCACATCAGCTCAGTTACTTTCCAGCTGAGTGACCAACTTGTCTTCGTTTTATATCTTTCCAAAAATGTTTTATAACTGCATTTGAGGAATCAACGCAATAAATGTGTCTATATTAATTATTATAATCTATATTAGGGCTGTTGAAATTAATCATTTAATCGATGCATCGCGATGCAGACGAGACGATTAATGCATCGATGCAGGGACAGGACGTAATCGATGCTGACAGGGTCAGAAAAAGCATCTGCTCACCTCTACATGTGGTTGTTTTGCGTAGCGTTGAGTGAGTTTGTTTTACCTCAACACACACAGTGGTGTGTATGAAAGTAACATAGGCTAACAGAGGATTTGTGACAGAAAACAACGTAAATTGAGTCCCGGTCCTGGTCTTGCTGACTTTATGAGCAGAGTCAGCTGGTCCTGCAGGCTCAGACCACAGTGCTCGCTGCAGGCTGAAACGGATTGACTCGGTGTCTCTTTAGCCGACCGCAGCTCGGGTTGCATCTTCATCACGGGTAAAGGTGTGTTTAAACTGATGCTCGCTGTCTTAAGTCCAGGATAACTAAAAGAAGGGGGCTGTGGCGGTGACTCGGGATAAAGTGAGCGGCTGTAAACACAGTTGACTCCGACACAGCGTCATCGAGAATCACCTCCACTAAAGCTGCGTTCGTTCGATGATAAACACTTTCTACTTCCGACAAGTTCTTCAAAATAAAAGTCCCCGGCCTATCTGTAGTTGTAGTGCTTTTAATGTGGAACATCCATATCAGGAAATGAGGTGTTTACAGCAGTAGCAACTTAACACAACTCGTCTGAAATAAAAAGGACAGAAACAAAACTAACCCTGAACAAAGCTCACAGCTAAAGACTACAACATCCTGAGAAGAGAACACACAGAGACTTAAAAACATAATACTGTCATCTAATAAACTAAACACACAAACACTTGTACTTTTTACCTATACTGTAGGCTTCAGTAGCTATAATGTATTAATTTTAACTTATAATGTAAAGATATTGATAATGACATTGTTGTCTAAATCACTTTTTAAGTTATAGAAAAGGAGTTCATATTTATAAGACTGTTTGTCTCTGAAATGTGCAGTAAAATAGAAAATTGAGGATGCATCGTGATATCGAATCGTGAGACCGGTGAAGATGCACAGCTCTAATCTTTATCTATCTCTCTAAAGATTGGACATAGCTCAAAGGAAAATATCAGATGATATATTGGTATGGGATTTTTTTCTCTTCCTAATATTGTTATCGGCCCTGAAAATCACATATCAGTCGGGCCCTAATTATATTATTGTTGTTATGTGTGTATCAGTGCTTAAGAGGCATTTTAGATGCTCTTCATTGAGCTATTGCTATTAACTACATTATATCTTCAAGTCCAGTGCTTTATCACCTGACACACCTCTGGATCTCTAATGGCTCTCAGGATAAAAGAGGAGAGAGGAACAATATAAAAGTTCTGCTTCACTGAATGGATTCTATTTCTTACACATTTGTATTTCTTTTTGTGAATTATTAGTGAAGTTTTTCTCTTCGAGCCTCAAACAGAATTTAAATGAAACTTTCTCAGAAGATCAGAGAGGAAGTCTTTCTTTTTGAGGGACCCACTAACACCTTATCCACATCTGAAACAAGAACTCATTTTATATGACTTTTTCTGAAATGACTTGTCTTTAAAAAGGTTTTAAAACACAGGGTGCCGTGTCCAGTCAGTCCCACAACACCCATCACCCCCCACACGTGGAGAGGGAAAACAGAAAGGAGAGTCTGAGGATGTTAGAAGGAGAGCAGGGAAGGCAGAGAACGAGTGAAATTTACTTTTTTTTATGAATGTATCATATAGCTTTAGGTTATATCTCTATCTGAAAAGAAATCAAATATTTGTAAACTAAATCAGACGCATAAATTCACAAACTTCCTGTTTCATTTTCTGACTGCATGTACTATATGACAGAAAAATCATTAATATTGAATTAGTCTTAAATGTGGTGAGGGGGGAGTATGTTTTACTTTCAATGAATTCTGATTTAAGTTCATTTATTCACTCTGAGTTGACGTGCCCAGCATGTCATAAGCAGAGGACAGGACCACCCGCACGAACTCATACTTGTCCTGTTTGTGTTAAACTGAGTGACAGCACAGATGCTGTTGTCTTGTTCTAATCACTCTAAACTGTGTTAGAGTTGTAATTGCTTTATGACAGCGGCCTGACAGGAGTCTCTAATTGGCTGTTTTCCTGGACTTGTTTTGGTCTGCCAGCACGAAGGATGATATTTGAGTTTGACAGATTTGAAGATTTTACACAAACACCAGTTTGTCCATCAGGAATATCTGTGACATTTAAAGATTTATTCATAAAACATTTAGAGGATGAACAATGACATATGCCTCTAATTAGAGATGCTGTGATACCAATTTAAATTCCCAGACTTGGGTGTTTGATGATAATGAATTGTACAAAATGATGCTATCATTTAATTCTAGAAAACTCGCAAAAACTTGACAGATTTTTGGAAAGTATTGACAGGGGTGTGTCCAGAGGCGTGGCAAATCAATGTGATTGGCCACCTGCAGGTGCCACCCCAAAAATCTTAAACGGTGATTGGCTATTTGCCCTGTCAGAGGCAGGGTTTATCTTTGTTTTTTTTGCAGAAGGCTGCCAGTTGTTTTCTTTGCATATCAATGTAGCATATTTTATGTTGTTTGTACTTTGAAATTTTAAATGACCATCTACTTAATAAGAAAGACTGTGCATAGGAAAGTAAGTCACACTGTCTGACTTGCAATAAACAAACTGGCAATGTGTCGGGACCAAAAGTTTGACGGTGTAGGAGTTTCATGCACTTTTTTTCCAAGTACTTTGAATTGTGACTTTAAAACATATAAAACATATATTTCATATAAGATACGATTGGTGAGGTTGGAAAGGGTGATAAATGAATATTACACACATATACACACTTCAGGCCACCCCTGTACATGTCCAAGCCCCAGTCTGGACAAGCTCCTGAGTATTGGTGAACAACCTTGTGCTTGTTCAAGCTCAATTTTAACGCGTTTGAGGCTATACAATATATGTCTGTCAGTGAGTCTTAAGTCGAGTGTGTTTTCAGGTTCATTCTCGCGCTCTTTAGATCGATAAGCAAAGCAGGATTTTTCTGCTGCACCTTTTAAAGCTGCAGCAGAGGCTAAGCAGTCTCAGGTGTGATGAAAAATGAATCTTACAGGCTTTGATTCACCTCGCATGATCTGTGTGTTTTTAGAACAAGTGGGCAGATTGCACGATGGCACGTTGCCTATTTTAGTGACATCTCACAACTCACTGCTGGCTGTCGCCTCTGTGCTGCATCACTGCCTGATGAGACTAAAATAGTGTCTGAGCCTGACCCCTTCCTTTGCAAAACAAACTCAAAATATTCACTTGGCAGAGGATTTAGAAAAGGTAGTGCTGTGTGCTTTATTTTAATAAGAAGGAATGTAAGCCTTTCGCTGCTATGAGACTCTCGTCCTTCATCTGCTGAAAGCTGCAGACAGCCTCCTCTCAAACCAATAACCAGGACTTGAATTCTAATTGATTCAGGGGATTTAAAGTCATCTATATGATGTTTTAACATGACTGAAAACACAAGACTTTGAAAAGGACTTGAAGCTGGAAAAAGTTAGTGTCTTTAAGGTTTATTGTCTTGTTCCCTGCAGTTGCTTTATTGCAGACACAACAGCAACAACAGTCACTGAACAGATGCTTATTCCTGCTGTTATATTCCTGCTGTTATACTTCTGCTGTTATACTTCTGCTGTTATACTTCCGAGTTCTTATTATCTGGTTTTGATGGCACAAGGCCGAGGACTCGATTATACAAGACATTTTCATAATCTTTACAAACATGCTGTGTTTAATTTGTCTTTGTGTATCTTGCATTTGATATTGATGCATGGTTTATTGGAGATATAAACACGTATCCAGACTCAAAAGTGCATGCTAATAAACCTTATGTTGATTAGAAAAAAAGTGACAAAGTATTGACAGATTGCACGCTTCATTTTGCTTAATGTGTCAGTATTGTTGGTGGAAACTGTTTCGACATATTGCAATACAAATAGTGGAAGTCCTCAAAACCCAAAAAGTACAAGTTAGACTTCAATGAGAAATCTCCATAATATGCCTTCATGTAAAGATTTGACAGTGCAGGTCAGTGTTAGTAAAGCTGACGCAGAGCCAGTTTAGCCAAAATGACAAGAAGATTTGTGCACTGGAACAGAAGAGTCATAAAGTGAGGAAACCTGCTCAGTTACATCTGTCCAAAGTTTTCCAACAAAAGCCGACATTAGCCTTCATCAGCTGCTTCATAGTCAACAGCAAGAATGTCCAAAGTTTAACCTTCAAAGGTCCAGTATGAAATTGGCAACAGCAAGTTAACTATTCCTCAGATAAATTGTGTCTTTATTTGTATAATTTGATGATTAAATAGACATTTATTTTAGTATATTATCAACAAAAACAAAATAAAACGGTAACCTGCGTTTCAGACGGTGTGGTGCTGGTGTCAAGTGTTGATAGAAATCTGCTGCCATCTAGTGGAGGTTTTCCAGAACAACATTCAGCTCACTCTTTCAAGTGCCCAAAAAAGTATTTATAATCAGCAGCTCTTCTAACATGACATTGAAGTAGTAAATAATATTCAGACACATAAGAGGCGGGCTTAAAGACAACTTTGGCCCCACTTTCAGAAAAAAATGTCCTTATGTTTTCTCTTTTGCTCATCCGGTGATTTATTTTTGCCTTTTTCGCCCACGCAGCTGTTCACTGCAACCTGAGCCAGAATGGCATCGACCACCAGATGTGCCCAGAGGACTTGACGTCACAGCTGGAGGAGGAGGAGGAGGAGTCTGTGGACGGGGGGCCCGTGCTGCTGGACGATGACAGCCCCACCTACCAGGACGTCAGCCCCCCCGTGTACCAGCGCCGCTCCCCTCCGCACCGCTCCGTCTCAGAGTCTGAGCTGTCACGGGTAAGGGAAACAAAAAAACAGAAGCAAGTGTCTTGAGATAACACTTGTTATGAGTTGACGGTATACAAATAAAATTGAAATTGAAATATTATGCCAATGCAGAAGTGCAAAAATAGTGCAGCCCATCAAGCTGCAGAAGCAACGGAAACGCCCCTTTCTAAAAAAGTCAGTTTTTAAAGCAGAAATTAACGTGTTTACAGCTTCTTCTTTTTTTAAAATGGAATTGGTCTGATCAGGTCAGTCGTTAGGTTGACTGAAAGTTAGGGTGAGACAGGATTCTCAGCATGGTGTCCGTCATCAATGGGACTCCCAGCGCCCCCTGCTGGAACAGAGGGGTGACGACACTCAGGCTACATCCATTAATATTTACACTCTGTGGTTTAAAAGCATCAAGTTAAGTTGTTTAACTGAGACAAAATGGCGAATAAGTTTGACATTTTCCGATGTAGGACTATTATCAATGTGACTGAACTGTTAGCTGTAAAACAGACCCAGGGCATTAAAGATGATCACTGATTGGTAGTCTTGTCTTTGTCTATCTGAGACATGTAGATCTAATGTATACTCTACTCGTAGCTCAGGTTTAGTCCTGACTATGTCCTGAGAGAAATACTAGACTCTTCTGCCTCAAAATACTTAGTTTGTTTTGTTTTTGTAATGCTAATTTGGGTAGCTAACACAGTTTATTATCCCATTACTGTCTGTATAAACCAAACTTAAAAGCTGAAAGACATTAAATATTTTAACCAGTTTTTTTTTTTGTTTTGTTTTTACGACCAAATACTCGTTTAAGTATCATTTTCAGTGACAACTAGCAAATGTTAGCATGTGTACCTAAAGTGGGAGCATACCTATGTTCCCACATTTCATTTTTCATAAATTTGTATCAGATTTTTTCCCCCTTTCTCCCAATTTGGTAGCCAACCTGTTATCCAGTAGCAATGGACTACAGATGGAATGTAGCTTTTAGCTAAATCTGGTGCGTCCATCTCTTTGTTTACTGCAAACATTTAATGTAAGTGCACATTGTCATTTTAAATAAACAAACTAAACTAAGAGGCCTCACATCGACTAGCTTCCGGTCAGATTAGTCGAGTGAAGCGCAGCAACTGGACGCAAAACCATAGTTTGCAGTGCATCAATACCTCTGGAGAGCCGGGTTGGTGTAAGTGTGCCTCTTATAGGCTACAAGAAACAGACATAGCCACTGTGACATCAACCATTGGTTTAAATGCTATAATGTTTTAAAGCCCCAAGTTTGGCATTTTAGCTTTTTGCCATCTTGGTTTAGTGTTTTCATTGTTAACATATTAGCATTTAGCATTTGTTTCAACACACTGCTGTGAACTCCTAAACAGTGGAGCTAGCATGACTGTAGACGTTTGTTAATGTTTCTGTATCAATCACATTGAAAGAGTAACGTCAGACTGAGGGCCTGAGCTGGTTTTAATGTGTATGAAACACTTTTCCTGGGTATTAAATTGATGGTGAAACATTCACAAAACACTTCCTGTAATGCATTGTCAGATGAATGCCTGTCACTCAGCAGCCCACTTACGTAGAATAATCCACATCCCTTTTTCAGAACAAAGACGTGAACAGAGAACAAACAGAGACGAGCTGTTTCTGCTCTTCTTCAGTGTTTCTGATAATAGATCAAAGGAGCCGTCAGCAGCTATGCAGAGGACACTCTTTACTTCCTGTCCAGAAATAGACTGTGGTTGGGACGGTGGGAGGAGTTCTGCGCACACACACACACACACACACACACACACACACACACACACACACACACACACACACACACACACACACACACACACACACACTCTGAAAAACACTTTCATATTCTCTTTTTTTCGCCGTAAAATCTGCGGTAATCAGCTGTCAATCAAGCGAGTCAGACAGAGTCCTCTGTGTAAACCCGGCCTGAGATTTTGAAACACCAGACAGACAGGCCGGGGTTCAATTAGTGAGAACACACACACACACACACACACACACACACACACACACACACACATATGCAGTTTGAGTAAGCAGATCTGCTCTGTCTGTAGTGACTTAAAAACTGTGAATTTATGTGATTCTGTGGTTACATAATACCCCCCAGTATCTATAACATAGCTTTCCATGCTGTGTGGCGTTTGCAGACATCATCGTGTCATTTTACACCACAACATCGTTCTGTTTGAACCAGCAGCTAGTTCTGAATTGCATCAGAGACCTGGAGGACGTTCGGTATTAACTGAAATAATCAGACTGTCTAAGCTTTCAGTCTCAGTGTTTTTGTCGCTGGATTGCAAATTGAGAACAAGTTTTGTCTCTTTGGGGACAAATTCAAAAGATCAAATGCAAAAAGAGTACAACGTTATAGGGTGCTGATCTGATCTGTTTTGCAACACAGCCACAGGAAAGAAGGTATTCATTCTAACTTATATTGTGTTTGAGCTTTGTTGAGAACTGGAGGTTTGCAGCATCTGAGATACTAATGTTAGCGTTAAGTAAAAGGTATCAAGGAGTGACAACTTTTACAGCTTTCTTTGTATTTTTACAAGTCAAACAAACCTTGTAGGACTCCTCATGATATTGTTTACTTGCCACCTCATGTACGGCTAGATATAGAATAGAATTACTTTATTGATCCCAAACTGGGAAATTGTGGTGTTACAGCAGCAGGTTATCCAAACACACAATATGAGCAAAAAAAACACAACATAATATTAAATACAAAGTAAATAAGCACTAAAAATATCAAAACTAAGAATGGGAATATATACAACCAGGATTTAACTAAGCATTACTAGTCTTAATTTTAAAAAAATTAAATACAACATATCCTTGCAACAAGTTTCTGGTATTCAAAACGAGACAGCTAGCTTACAGTTTCCTCCAATAAGCACAAGGCGTAACTTCTCATGATGTTTATTGAAGATTTTCAGTTTTTTTTCGAAACTGCAACAAAGTACAAACTGCTTAATACTGAAGAAAATAACTAGTAGAGCACATCTAAGACCATTATTTGCGAAACCACAAATGCTTAGCTCTTCTGACGCTATCTTAATGCTTTGGTAGATATTCATAGACTTAATTTAAATGTTCTCTGACAAACTCAAGTCACACTTTGTCTTTTCCCCTATCACCAAATAAAAACAGAACATGGAACTTATGAACACGTAGTATCCAAGCAGTAGTCTTTACTCCTCAACGCTGAACTGGCTCTGAGGGAAATCAAATCCTGTCATGCAGGTGCTCTGAAATAACCAGCAGGGGGCGGTATCAACACAAAACTTAATTCAACTGCATTGAATTTACTTTATGCAGAACAGAACATTACCCTGTATGTATTTTAGGGATATAATAGTGATGATATGGAACTGAAATGAATCTCATAACTGGATGGGGTATCAGTTTAAAACGAGGCAGCTCATTGGCTTATATAAGTTCCTGTAAAGTTTTTCTTCATAAGGGAGACAGCGAACTCATTGGCGCAGGGATCCCACATTACTTTATGCATTTTTTATTCTTGTTTTGTTTTTGTATTTTTTTTTTTTAATGCCAAAGAAAAATCAAAACACAGAACTCGCCCTCAGGATACTCACACTCTCACTGAAACACTCACACACACTTTAATGCCTAAGGAGGGTCTACAAATAACTGATTCATTAACCTGAATCGCACGTCAAGGGAACGACAGCGTACATATTATTGCATGTTGTCCACTTGTGATGCAAGCAAATGCAAGATGTCAATAACTGACATGCTCAAAACAAACCAGTAAAAATCCAAATGTTGCAAAATAGACCCCTAGATTCCCTCGTGTGTCGACATCTCGAGGATGAATTTGCAATTTCTCCATCTCCATCTGCATCACGATTCTGTTCTTCGGTGGAGTTGTTTTCTTCCAGTGTTTGAGAATGACTTCCTTTAATACTGTGGCCATCAACAGATCAGTGTGAATATGTCTGCAGTATGCAAACCAATCCCTAAGTTAATTGACATTAGTAGTAATCATTAATTTCGGTCACAAGAAAAAACAAAAACATTTTGACTCAAAAGATTTAGACTGAAGCTTTATCTTATTACACCTCCCCTTATTACAAGTCTTATTATTTAAGACACTACTAGTTTGGTTACAAAAAAAACAAAACATATCAGAACAAAAAACTAATGAAACAAAACAGAAGTCACACTCACAAAAAATAATCAAACCGACCTTTTATATTTTGTTAAACACCTTTTTTTTTTTTTTTTTTTTAAACAATTAGTAAGAAGACCTTTATAAACAAAAACTTGAGGACCCAGAAGAGAGTGTGCGTCGGTTTCATCTCAGTTAGTCTCATCAGCAGTGTTTATTTTATTTTTTTAATACAGGATTAAAGTTGAATTCTCCGTCTGGCTGGATTTGTAATGAAGCCGAGGCTCAGAGGTAGAATAAAAACATTGTATTAACACTCAGTGGACAGCTTCACCATCCATAGAGAATCAACTCATTTCAGACGTAATTAATATGAAGCCCAGGTGAATAAGTCTGCTTTGGTGTTAACACATCCTGCAGAGCGCCGCGGAGCCTTTACAATCCCGAGGTCAGGGTCTGTTATTAAACGCTCTAATGTTCTGTGTTTGATGAGCCTGAGCGACGTTAACAGAGGCGCCTTGATATGAAGGCTTATGAATTTAACAAAGTTAGCATGGCACACACACACACACACACACACACACACACACACACACACATACACACACACACACATATCTCGGTTTCATCCCTATTCCTGAATGTTACAAACTAATTAATACGGGGAATTTTCATCTCCTGCCAGCTCAGGCCGATGAAACGAGGCAGGGAGTGAGGAGAGAGAGAGAGAGAGACCGAGAGGGAGGAGGAGTGAAAAGAGAGAAAAGAGTGAGAGAGAGAGAAAGGGAAACATTAAGGGATGAGAGGAAGTAGAGAGAGAGAGAGGTGGGGAGAAAGGGAAGCAAAGCAGGAAGAGGGGAGA